GTTAACTATAGGTTTTTGAAGCTATTCCTTCACTGTTTCTTCATCATTGAGGGAGTTCCTATCTATTATTTGTTTACCTAGAGGTTTTTTTTCTTAAAATCATAAATGAGTACTGAATTTTGTCTCATGCTTTTTCTGTGTTAATGGATGTAATTATGTGAGTTTTCTTGTTTGGAATTATAATTATGTTAAGTCACGTTGTCAAAAAACAATATATGGAAGATCATTGATGGTATTTGGACACTTCAATATTCTGGATCCTCAAGAAAAATATGTGTTTGTAAAGATAATAAATGTCCTCTTATTCTGTGTATACTAAAGTAGCTTTGTAGAGATGAGATGGCACAAGAGATTGAATTTACACGGTAAATTTTGGGAAGATTGCTTGAAATTAGCAAAAACTTTTGTCATGGCTGTTTAGGAGACATAACAGTGCTAAGCATATAAGATCAAGGAACCAACAGATTCAGTGTCTGGTGAGAGTCCACTCTCTGCTTCAAAAATGGCACCTTCTTGCTGCATCCTCACATGGGAGAAAGAGTGAATAAGCTCCCTTGGAGCTCTTCTAAAAGAGCACCAATCCCATTGATGAAGGTTCTTTTCTCATGACCTAATGACCCTCACACTCCCTAAAAGCCTCACTTATCAATAGTCCTGCATTGGGTATTGGGTTTGAACATATGAATTTGGGGGAACACAAACATTCAAACCATAACATTACACCTCTGACCCCCTAAATTCATATTATTATCATATGTGAAATGTATTCCATCCCAGTAGCCCCCAAATCCATAACTCATTCTAATGTCAACTCAAAAGTCTAAAGTCCAGATTTTCATCTAAATATTATCTAACTCAGATATGGGTGCAATTCAAGACATGATTCATCCTAAGGCATTTTGCCTTCCAGCTTTGAACTTGTGAAATCAATTTATTTACTGACAAAATACAACAGTAAACAGGCATAGGATACACATGCCCATTACAAAAGGGAGAAATAGGAAGGAAGAAAGGGTTCCAAGTAAGTCCAAAATCCAATGAGGCAAAAAACATTAACTATTAGAGTTGGAGAACAATTTTTTGAAGATTGTTGGAGAACAATCTTCCAGACACACTGGGGCACAAACTGGGCCCCCAAGGCTCTTGGCAGCCCAGTCTCAATGGATGTGCTGGTTACAGCCCATGTACACCTCTCACAGGTTGGAGTTGTATGTCTGGGGCTCTCTTAGGCTAGAGTTGCACACCAGTGACTCAACCGACCTGAGGTTAAGGGGCAGTTCTGTACTCATTGCTTGAGTAATCATGACCCTAGTGGGGGCTGTCTGTGCTGGCCTCACTCTTGCTCTCAGCTCCACTGGGCATTGCCCTAGTATGACAGTTCTCTGCCTGTGCTCTGAGGGTCTCTGGGGCATCCTTTGAAGTCCAGATGAAGGCAGCCACGCCTCCATTGGTTGTTCACTCTGGGCCCTCGTAGAGATGGCACCAAGGAGACACCCCCAAGGTTGATACAATGCGCCCTCCAGAAGGACATTCCCTTGGGCCTCATCCCATCTGGGCCCACAGGAGCCCCACCTGGTATGCTTGAGAAGCAGTTTGCTAGAATGCAGGAACACAGACTTGAGACATCACGAGCAGCAAGTGCCAAAGTCCTGTGGGTGCATGAAGCTCCTCTTTTGGCAAAGATCTGTCCCTGAAGCCTTGTAACTCCAATTCTTAATGGGAGTGGCAGCACTGATAATCTCTGAAATGCCTTCAGGGTCATTCTTCCATTGATTTGGGGAATATCACCTAGTTTCCAAACCTTCTTAATCTCTTTTTCAAAAGGTGGCTTGGTCATATCCTTGGTGTTTTCTTCTGAAAATGTGCTTTTTCATTCTTTACAACATGGTGGGGATAAGAATTTTCCAAATCTTTTAGTCCTGCTTTCCTTTTCATTATAAATTCCATGTTTAATATTTATTTCTTCTCACACTTTACTATAAACCGATAAAAAAAAAAAGCATGTTGCACCCTCCACCATCTGCTAACATATTTCTTCTTCTCTGAAATATCCTATTTCATGGCTCAGAAATTCCACCTTCTACAAAACACTAGGACACAAACAATTTAGCCAAGTTATTTGCCTCTTTATAACAAAGATCATCTTTCCCTCAGTTTCCAGTACATTGGTCCTCATTTCAGTTGAGACTTCATAAAAATGGCTTTCACCATCCATTTTCCTACCAATGCTCTGATCACAACCAGTTAGGTAACCTGTGAGAAGACTGAGGCTCTCTCTACAGCTATCCTCTTCTGAGCCCTCACCAGAATCATCCTTAAATCTCCACTTACAGCAATGTAGGCTTTTTCTAGCATGCACTTCCAAACCTTTTCAGTCTCCAGTCAGTGAGTTCCAAAGCAACTTCCACATCTTTAGGTATTTGTTATAGCAACATTTCACCTCTCAGTACCAATTTCTGTCTTAGTGCATTCATGCTGCTATAATGAAATACTTGAGACTGGTTAATTTACAAACAACAGGAATGTACTACTTAATAGTTTTTGAGACTGAGAAGTCCAAGATCAAAGTGCTAGCAGATTTAGTGCCTGGTTGGGACTGGTTCTCTGCTTTAAAGTTGGTACCTTGCCATGTCGTCACGTGACAGAAATGGTGAACAAGCTCCACTGGACCTCTTTTATTAAGGCACTAATGTCATTCATGGGGATTCTACCCTCATGACCTAATTGCCTTCTAAGGGCTCCACCTTTCAATATGATTGCACTGCAGATTAGGTTTCAACAAGTGAATTTTGGAGAACACAAACATTCCAAACACAGCATGTTAATATCTTGGTTAAAGTGTTTCATTTTTCATTTCTAAAATGACAATAGCTTGTTTGTCTCTTTTGTTCTTAAATGATTACAATATTTGACATACAAAAAACAACAATAGTTAAGAAAAATTATTTTCAGACTCTTAGATATTTTTTATTCATTATTTGCTTTTAAAAAATGCATAGGAATCAGAACTCTGTGCAATTGGAAATTTCTTTGTTGAACTATCAGTTATCACACATCACTTGCAGTGTATTATGTGATTAAAAGAGTGTTTCCATTTCTTTGTTTGGTGCATATTCATATTGAGCCAACAGATCTAAGGGGAATTTGTTGAAAGTTAACTAAGAGTGCCTTCATCACAGGATGTTGACCACATTGATTTTTAAAAATAGATTCCTATGTTTTTTACTTGAAGTGTCTTTTGTCCAACTAGATTTCCAGAATGGATTGCAGAAATACAGATATTAAGTGAAACATGTTCAGTTATAATATTAGTATACATTTTAATATAAAGCTATTTTTCACATTCCCATGTGGCCTTTTGCACCTATATATAGAAAGTTCTTATGCTACTTAGAATACGATAAAAAATAATCTCAAAAACATTCAAAATATGTCTATGCAATATTCACATAAATTTTGATGCATACTTAAATGGCCATGAATGGTACTTTATTCTGTTTCCTAAAATTATTTACAATGCATAATTTGTCATCTTCTTATTCTGATCAGCAATGTATAACTTTAAATCAAACTTACGATCCAGTGAGAAATGTTAGTTAACTTAAGAGCTCATCGCTTGATTATTAATTTCTTATAATCTCCCTTCCTTATACATACACTGGTCTAAATTAGACAATGTTATTCTATTGTATCATATTTTAGGTTCGGGATGTATATGTGCAGGTTTGTTACATGGGTAAATTACCTGTCACTGAGGCTTGGTGTACAAATGATTCCATCACCAAGGTAGTGAGCATAGTACCCAATAAGTAGCCTCCCAAACCAGGCCCCTTTCCCTATCCTCCCCTTTCAAGCAGTCCCAGTATCTATTGTTCCACTTTTTTTCTGCCATGTGTATTTAATGTTGAAGAGATAGTCACACTCCCATGTTTATCGCCACACTATTCACAATAATCAAACTATGGAATCAACCTAATTGCTCATTAATGGGTGAATAGATAAAGCAAATGTGGCACATACACACAACAGAATCATTATTTAGTGATAAACAAATAAATTCATGTTATTTGCAGAACATGGATGAACCTAGGGACCATTGTATTAACTGAATTAAGCCAAGCACAGATAAATAAATATCATATATTCTTACTCATACATGGAAGCTAAAAATAGTCTTGGATAGCTTTTTATTTTTTACTGAATTGCTCTAGCCAGAACACCTTATATTTGCTGAATATGCGAGACAAAACCGGGGTGACATATTCAACTTATAATCTATAAATTGGTTTCATGCAGGTTTGAGGAAATAATTAAAATCTAATTTTTATTCATGTTTGGTATTGTTATATTGTGAATGACTTAAACAGATTTTATGGTGACATTTTGAAATAAAAAAGAAGCTTAGAAAGTCAGAAAAAAAATAGAAAAACATAAATGAGGCAAAACACCACATATCTAGAGGATTATTCACCACTGTGTTACCCATTTTACAATAAAAAAAGTTTTATAAGAAATACATATTTTTCTTGCCATATTATTTTGAGGAATATTATAACAAAGATTCATAACTTATGAATTATACTTAAAATCTAAACAAAATGATTTTCTGTTCCATTTTTTGAGAAGATAAGTCATTAACATTTAATCAATTATTCATAACAAAACATTAACATAATTTAGAAAACTCATATGATGAGTGTCTCAATCCAATCCCAGCTGTAAGTATCAAAAACCAAAACTATATGTAACCTTTACATAAACCACGTCAAGGTAAGCACCCTCAGTTTTTTTGCTTGCAATTACTTTGTTTAGATTTTTGTATTAATGACTAATATTAATATAATTAATATTATCTTAATAATTTATTAATATTAATCATATTGATATTAATAAGTCTTTCAACTTAACCATCTCTTATGCATATATATGAAACCATTTATGTTTTTTCTTGTTTTATGTAATATTTGTGAATTGTAAAAATTTTGTTTGTTTCATTTTAGTACTGTGTAAATAAAACCTGCAGAAAAGTTCATTTAACGGGATATAACTGTAATACCACCACAAAATGCAAAGGAAAAGGGGTAAGTCACTTTTGTATCTGAATTGCATGTTATTGTTGTGGGTAATTCAAATAAACATCTGTTTATGAGGATTGAGAGTCTAAGCTATTTAAACTTGCCCAGGTCTAGTAGACTAATATAAAGAAAATTACTTGATCTAGTTTCAACACTGTATAACATATTAAGTGAATTGTACAAGATACGTATTGAACTGTAAGCAGTCACAACTTAATAATTAGTAATATGTTTAAATAAAAACATTTACTCTTCTTCAACACAAATAAATGCATTTTTACTTATATTGTGAACATACTTTTTCTCCCACATACATTTAATAATTAAGGCATATGAGCATACAGTATTTTACAGAGTATACTTAAAAACACCTTGACATATCAGGGAATATTTTTTTCTCATTGAGAGACTTCCAATAGCAAATGCAACTTCACGCAAAAAGCTTTCTTTATTTCTTTTGAGTTGTTTGTCTGTTTCAATCTGGTAATTTAAATTTGTTAATTTTATATTGCATTTCCATTTATTAAAATTTACAAGTTGAGGGTTTTAAAAAATTATTTTCCTAAAAGAAAATCAGTGCGTGACATAGTTAACATTATAAGAGTAACCTCAAATTCACCAGAATGTATTAATATTTAATTCTATAATTTCTAAATTAGTTGGATTCAGAAGGTATTAAATGCTAGTACATTGTCAGTAATTTGCTATCAGTTGTTAACAAAGAAAATAGCCACATTTTAATGTTTTATTTTTTTCTTTCTGTAATTATAATTTTTGGCTTGAGTTTTTGACTTCCTCTTTTGTATTATAGGTTTTCAGCCTTATTATTTTTTATAATATCTCAACACAAAGTTATACATGATCGATTTTTACTACCATGTTTCATTGGGTACACAATTGTTTTCTTCATATATTTTTATTTACATTCAGTCATTTTACTTCTACTTTTTAGATTTTTTTGATAAAACCTTTTACTATGAAATATTACATTCATAAAGGAAATACATAAGGCAAAACTTCTGTATTTACATTAATTTATATTTCTACATATGTTATATGTTGTAGTTAAAATGTTTAAAAAGAAAAACTACTTAAAAATAATTATAAGTCGATAGAAATCTTACTGAATCTAGGCAAATTTGCATAGATTCTCTAATGACAGTTCTCAATAGACAGCTTTATCATTTATCATTCCAGTTCAATTGAATTAGCATGTAGGTGTTCTGAAATTCTATTATTCATGAAATGTTGCCAGTTATGATAGTGTCATTCTCTTTTTATTAGTGATATACTTTTCATTAGTTGCCATGGACAGTTATAATTTATTACTCTGAAAACTAGTAGTCTAAGCATCAATATCAAGAAGTTAAGAAAATAACAGAATATTAAATTCAGGCTTTTATGCATGATTCAATATAAGTGGTGGATATTCTTGCTGTGAAAGAAAAAAATTCAAGGCTCCACACTTTAGTGTAATATTTGCAGAATATTTTTATTATAATTTTCTATTAAAATAATTCTTTTGTTTCTAGTTTGTTTTCTATTATGAATAAATGTTAAATTTTATCAAAGACTTTTTCTGCATCTATTGACTTTACTATATGATTTTCCCCTTTAATCTGTTAGTGTACAAATGTATTTATTGATTTTTAAAATAATAAGCCAACTTTAATTCCCAGAATAAAACCAACCATGACCTGCTTTTAGTTCAACTTTTGAGTATTTTATTTGATATAAATGTTTCTATCTTATGGATTTGATAGTTTTATATCTTGTACTTAATGTTTCTGATTTTCTATCAAGGTTATGCTATTTTGGTGGTGCTTCTTCGTTGTATATTTTCTATAGTAGCTTTAAAAAAATTAGCAGACATTTTTCAGAGCAATGTTTGGTTTACATAAAAACAAGCACCAAGTATAGTGAACTACAATATATCCGGTCCCTCTCCCTCCCTGCTTCCCTTATTATTTTGCATCTTGCCTTAGAGCGACACCCTATAATTCCTGTGCTACTATTTATACATTATTATTAACTACAGTCTATAGTTTACATTGGGTTCATTGGGTTTAACTCTTTGGGTCGTAAAAATATATGGGTCTTATAAAATATGCATCTTAAAAAATATGTGGGTCTTAAAAATATGTTTCCATTATTACAGTATCATACAGAATAGTTTCACTGTGGAAGAATGCCCTGTGATCCACATATTTAGCCCTTCATCCCTTTCCATAAACTCCTAGAAACCCATGAACTTTTTACTGTCTCTTAGTAATAATTATTTAAGATCCCTCCATGTCTTTTCATGGCTTTATGGCTTATTTGCTTTTATCATTGAATAATATTCCACTCTACAGATGTACCATAGTGTGTTTGATCATTCATCTATTAAAGGACAATGTGGGTTTTTTTTTTTTTTTTTTTTTTTTTCCATTTTGGGCAATTGTGAATAACAATTGCTATAAACACTCATTTACAGGTTTTGGTGTGGACATAGTTTTTATTTCAGTTGGGTATTATATGCAATTACTGAGTCATATAATAGCAGCATGTTTGTTTAGTTTTGTAGGAAGTTACTAAATTGTCTTTCAAAGTAGATGTATCATTTCGCATTCTCATCAACAATGAATGAGAGTTCTTGTTGCTTGACGTCTTCACCAACATTTGGTGTTTTCAGCCATTGAGATTTTAAGCATTCTAATTATTTAGTAGTAATTCAATGTTGTTTTAATTTACAGCTCTCTAATGACATATGATGTTGAGCATCTTTTATTACACTTATTTGGAATATGCATATCTTCTATAATGAAGCATCTTAATCTTTTGCCTGTTTTTTTAAAAATAAATCCTCCATTATTCCCTTCCCCTAGCCCCTGGTAACCACTATTCTACTTGAGGTTTCTATGAATTGACTACTCCAAATACCTCATATAATTGGTATTATACAATATTTGCGCTTTTGTGTCTCGCTTATTTCACTTAGCATGATATTTTCAAGGTTCATCCATGTTGTATCATGTAGCAAAATTTCATTCTTTTTTAAGCTGAGAAATATATCATTGTATGCATATGCCACATTTTGTTCATCCATTGATTTGTCAATGGATGTTGAATTTGCCTCTGCCTTCTAGCTGTTGTAAATAATATTGCTATGAACATTGGTACACAAATATCTGTTGAGGTCCCTGTTTTCATTTCAATTATTTCAGGTATATGGCCAGAAGAATTCCTGGAGCATATGGTAATTCTATTTTCAATCTTTTTGCAGAGTCACCATATTTTTTGCCACAGTCTCACCAACAGTGCAAGCACAGGGGTTCCAATTTCTCTACGTCCTGCCCAATATTTATTTTTATTTTTTAATAGTAACCATCTTAAGAGTTGCAAAATGGAATATCACTGTAGTTTTGATTTCCATTTCCCTAGTGATTAACAAAATTGAGCTTTATTTCCCTTATTGGCAATCCATATACCTTTAGAGAATTTTGTATTCAAGTCCTTTGCCAATTTTAAAATTGTGCTTTAGAATTATTTATTTAGTTCTAAATAATTACTTATTTAGAATTATAGAGTTTTAGAATTATGTATATATTTTGGATATTAATTCCTTATCATATATGTGATTTGCTATTTTTCCATTCTATGTATTGTCTTTTCTCTGTCTTGATAGTATGCTTTTGTGTACAAAAGTTTTTAATTTTGATGATGTTTATTTTTTCTTTTGTTGCCTGGTTTTTTGTTTAATACTAAAGAAATCATCAAATCTAATGTCACAAAGCTTTTCCCTTATGTTTATCTCTAAGAGCTTTAACTTTTTAACTCTTCTTTCAATTAGATCTTTTATCTGTTTTGAGTTAATGTTGATATATGGTCGAGATCAGAGTCTAACTGTATTTTTACACATGGATATACACTTTTCCCAGCATTTGTTGAAACAATTGAATGGTCATGGAAGCCTTGACAGAAATAATTTGACCGTAAATGTTAGGGTTAATTTCTGGGTTCTCTATTCTCCATTTGTCTATATGTCTATCTTCATGCCAAACCACATTGTTTTCATTATTGTGGCTTTGCAGGAAGTTTTGTCCTCAGGAAGTATAAGTTATTCAACTTTGTTCTTCCTTTTAAAAAACTTTTAAGGCTACCTGAAGTGCATTGGGATTTCATATGACCTTTGTGATGCATTTTTCAATTTGTGTAAAAAGCATCATTGGAATTTTGATCAAGATTGTTATGAATCTGTAGATTGGCTTGGGTAGTATTATCATCTTGACAATATTAAGTCTTTCAAATCATGAACATGAGATGTTATTAAATTTATGTCTTCTTTAACTTCAGCAATGGTTTGTAATTTTGAGTGTATATGTCTTGTGTCTCCTTGGTTTTAAGTTTGTTCTTGAGTAGTATTCTGTTCTTTCTAATAATATTGCAAATAGTATTGTTTTCTCAATTTCCTTTTTGGGTTATGCATTGCTAGCTAGTGTATTAAAATGCAGCTATTTTTTGTATGCGTGTTGATTTTGTATCCTGCAACTTTTTAAATTTATTAGCCTAAGATGTTTATGTGGGATCTTTAGGGTTTTCTACATACAAGAATATATTATCTGCAAATATATTTTATGTTATTCTGTCTTTCCAATTTGATTGCCTTTTATTTCTTTTTCTTGCCTAATTGTTTTGACTAAAATTTTGCTGTATAACATAAATTTTTGTATGTTGTGTTTTTATTTGCATTTCTCAAAATATTTTCTAATTTTCCCTGTGATTTCTTTCTTGAACAATTGGTTGTTTTAAAAGGTAGTGAATTTTTTCACATCATTCATTTTGTCTTCTATATCTTTTAAACATCAAAACACAATAATTGTTGTTTTCTATAGTCAACATTTATTTATTCTTGCTTAATCATATATTTTACTCTTTCTATTTGTTGTATTCTTTTCTATGTTTCTGTGTTTATTTCTGTTAAAAATTTTCTTCAGCATGAAAAAAGTATGGTGGCTAAAATTAAC